AGCTTTGACACAGGCCAGGGTACCAGGATTTATAGAGACCAGGTCACTGCCAAAGGGAGATGGAAAATACTCAAAGACTAGACACACACTGTATTCCATTGACTCTAAGACACATAGATGCTTTGCTGTTTCAGGGATGTTGGAATTTGATGAAATGTGCTTCTTATGGTTAGTGCAATAGGCCACGGTGCCTGTGGGGTCTGTCCCAGGCTCCTGGCTCCCACTATCTATAAAGAGGCATATCAAATTTCCCAGTGTCCCTTCCCTGAAAGATGGGGCAAGAGTGTGCTGTTTGGCTGAAATCCTGCTGGTTCCCCCCACCCCACCCCCTATCTTAGCATCTTTCTCTTAAAAGTGCTAGTAGATACTGCCTCTCTCAGCCCAAACCTTCCAGCAGCTTCCCCCAGCTCAGAGCAGCAGTCAACGTCTGCACGATGCACCCTTGCTCATGTCCCTTGGCCCTTGCCCTGACTCCTCAGGTATGGCACAGCTCGCACCCACCTTCAGACCCCTGCCCCCAACAGAACTGCCCCTACCTCTCCCCAGCACCTCCCGTCCTCAAGAGGGTGGAATCATCTGCTTTGTTCATGCTGTGGCCCTGGCGCAGAGTGTGCACTCAGGAAACCTTTGCTGGATTGAAGAATGAATGAATGAATGAATGAATGAATGAATGAATGAATGAATGAATGCTATCTTGCCTAGAGGAGGGGCCCCATCCAGCAACAGAGGGACAGGGCAGATGTGAGCAGAGACCCCGCCTCTATCCCTCTGTCTTTCAGAAGTCCACTTCTGCCTGGGTGGGGCCCAGGGAGCAATTCCAGCTTCCCTATGGGCACACGTCAGGGGGTCTCTCCTCCCTCCTTTGGACCCTGTTCTCAGCCCTGCGCCATGACCTAGGAATGCAGGCCAGCAGCTGGTGCTGAGCTCAGACCCTCTCATCCCCTGTGCTGTGTGCCTGGGACAAGCTGAGCCACTCTCTAAAACTGCACCCAACCTCCCTCCCTCAGACTGTTGGGCAGTGCCTGGCACAGACCAAGTATGAGAACACCATGAGCCACTGTCACTTCTGTTATTACCCCAGAGCTTCCTGCTCCGTTTGGAGGCTCTAACAGCCCAGGAGTCACTACCACCCCAAGCCATGTGTGTGGAAGTGTCTCAGAATTGTCACCAGCCAAGACACAAGTCCATTCCTGTCACACTTATACCCATGACACGCCTCCTCCTGAGGAGACAAAGCAGTATCCTGCAGAGTAAGCCCCCCCACTAGGGCTTCCTTGACCCACTTCCCCAGCTCAGAGCAGGGTCCAAATCCCCCTGGGGGGAAGGTGTCCTTGCCAGGCTGGGAGGGCTAGGACAGGGGCAAGTGTAATTCTACCTTCTAAGGATGCTCAGAAGCCAAGCTCCAAATGCAGCAAAGGTGGAAACCGGATCCCGGGCCCCCATCCAGCCTGGCCAGCCCATGTGATGACAGTAGGGTGCAAACCTTGACAGGCTAGCAGGTCCACCTTCCCTCAGCCACATTCAGGGAGGGTGGTGCCCGCCTAGAGGAGGCCAGGGTGCACTGCCCAGCTCTGTGGCTGTAAATTGATGTCCACATGGTGGCGTCCAGGCTGCTGACCACAGTTGAGGGGGACAGCCCACCCCTCACAGGCAGCTGTTAGCACTGGGAGCCCCAGCTGGGCCCCCCTTGTCGCGACGCTCAAGGCAGCTGCTCCTGGGGCTTCATCCACTCAGGCTCTCGGCATTCACCCGAGGCTTTGCAGGGCAGGGCTGAGGGGCCCTGGGGCTGGTTCACTGGAGTTTACCTGCTAGGCTGTGGGGTCCCAGGGGAATGTGTGGGCAGGGCTCCAGGACATTCTGCAGGAGGAGCTGGTAGATGTGAGAGCCGCTGCTCCTGTGTTCCCATCTCCAAGCACGTCCCAAGGGGCCTCCTGCTCTCATCTCACAAAAAATAAATATGAAAAATGAGAAATTGCACTTTTCAATAAGTTTGCATAGAAAAACCCTGAAAGAACATTCTCCCAATCATGAGGTGTGGTGGGTGGCGAGGGGGTCTACTGACCCCCACCCCAACCCTGTTCTGTAACTCCCTATGAGAATGTATTGTGTTGAATTCAGACACAACTTCGGTTCTTTCAAAGCAGTCAGTCCACAGAGAATGGACAAGCAAAGGGACCAGCAAACAAGTCCCCGTGAGACCTGCATGGCCTGCATTCAAACTCAGACCCTCAGGGCCAGGGTCTGGAGGCCACCACACACGGGAGAGGAGCAGCTTCCTCAGAGAAGCCCTGGCCCTAGTCTGGGATCCTGGCCTGAGGCCGCCCTGAGCACTGCCCAGCACCTCAGAGGGCCCATGAGCCAACTTCTAAAGTCCTCCCCGCCGTGTCCTGGGGGGGTAACAGCCCATGTGTCCTCCTAGGTAACACATTTTGTCTTTTGCAGAAATAGTAAAGGAGGTTGAGGTGCCACAGGCTGCCCTGGATGCCCCAGCCCCTGGGACAGGGGACAGCTGCCACTTGCCTGTGGCTGAGGAGGAGGAGGTGGGAATCCCGATACCGGCACCTGGGCTCCTGCAGGTCACAGAAAGGAGGCGTAAGTATTCTGGAGCTGCCTGGCATGTTCCATGGGACCTGTGACCCCCCGGGGAGTGGGGTCAGGGCTACATCCTGTCCAAACAGTCCCCCAATGCCCCAAGCACTGAGCTTTCAGCTTTGGCTCGCTGGGCCTCAGGTGTACCATCTGTAAGTGGGGGCCCCTAGAAGGTGTTTGGTCCTGAATGTGGGGAGCAGAGTTGGGGGTCTGGCTGTCCCATCTTATTGGAGCCCTGTTGGGCTTTACTCAGAGCTCTGGTTCTTCCTTGGGCCTCATGGGGGAGGGGGGCCTCATGGAGCAACTGCACCAGTGACAAGCCCCCTGCCCCCAGAGCCCCTCAGCAGCGTGTCCTCCCTGGAGGTGCACTTTGACCTCCTGGACCTCACCGAGCTGACCGACATGTCCGACCAGGAGCTGGCCGAGGTCTTTGTTGACTCCGATGATGAGAACCTGACTGGTGGATCGCCAGCAGGTGAGGCTGGCATCGGGATGCGGTGGGCATTGCGGAGCGGTCCTGGGGCCCAAGACCACTAAACACTGCTCCCTGCCATCCCCTATTTTTAAAAATAATTTTATCTTGATTGTGTGTTTAAGTATTTGCCACCAAGGCACCATTTTACTCAACATCTCTGCATTCTATGTATCTGTATCTCCTGTTACCACTACCCCTCCTCAATTCTGCTTTTCAACCACAAAGAGGCCCAAGCCACAAACCCATTGAAGGTAGAATTTACTAAACTTAATCACAAGTTAAGCCCTGCCCAGTGTGGCTCAGTTGGTCGGAGCGTCGTCCCGACACTGAAGGGTCGTAGTTTTAATTCCCAGTCAGGGCACATACCTAGGTTTTGTTCGGGTTTGATCCCTGGCCTGGTCAGGGCATTTGGGAGAGGCAGCTGACAGATGTTTCTCTTTCACATTGATGTTTCTCTTCCCTCCTCCCCCTTTCCTCTCTCTCTCTCCCTCTCCCCCTTTCCTTCTCTCTAAAAATCAATGAACATGTACTCAGGTGAGGATTAAAAATTTATTTTTTTAAATTACAACTTAAGCTGAGCACAGAGGGGTTGCCATTCACCCACCCTGAGCCCCTCCTCAGCTCAGCCTGACTTGGTTTCCCCTTGGTTCCTGAGGAAATGTCCTTGGCCCAAGACCCCAAAAGCCTCAGAAATGGCAAGGCAGCCAGTGGGGTGTGTGGGCTCAGAGACATTCCTCTCTCCCTGCTCAAACCCCATGCAGGCGGGGTCTGGGGTGGGGTGATCAGACCCCAGCTCTGTGAGCCTACACTCTGGGGAGCAAGGGGGTGGTCATCTGCTCCTAGCCAGGCTCGCTCTCTGGGTGGGGCCTCGGCTACACAGCTCAGGCTGCACCCAGACACATATCCTCATTGCCGGTGGCCTGGTACATTTTCTAAGTACCCAGGGGACCCCAATGTATGGCCAGACATCATGTTGGGAGGCACACATGGGCCCAACCCAGTAGCTTCAGGAGATGCAGGACCCCAGGCCATGCTGACCCTACCCGTTTCCACCAGGCCTACACCCACTGTCCCGGCCCGGCTGTCTGCGATCCCCATCCTGGACTCGTACCAGGACTGAGCAGAACCGTGAGAAGCCACACCTTGGCGACCCTGAGCGGCAGCCAGCAATTGTGGACACATTTCTCACTGTGGAGAGGCCCAAGGAGGACTAGGCCAGCCAGCCCCGGGACCTGAGGAAATTCGATGTAGTGGGTTGGGGTCTCGAGGTACCCAGCACAAGCACAGCCCCTTGGCCTTATGTCCAATTCCTTCCTGATCCTTGGATCAGGGCTGACGTGCCCAGGGACAAGACAGGAGTGGACTGGGCCTTCTGGAAACTTCTGTCTGCAGGACTGGTGCTCTTGTCTGTCACAGGATTCCCAAGTGGATGCTGGGTGAGGGGGGACCTGAGTAGATGACAGCTCCTGGGGTCTAGCTAAGTACGAGGGTGGAAGAGTCAATCCTGAAAATTGCCACCTTGATTGCAATCCTGTCCCCTTCTGGCCACCCAGGGAGCAGTGCCAGCACTGGGGCCCCTCCTAGGCCCTAAAACCCTGCTTGTCCTGGTCCCTACGAGACAGCCAGGCCCACCCTCTTTAGCTCAGAACACCAAATATGACATGACTGCCTCAGACTGCTGGGGGTGGGTCACCTTCTGCCAGTCCCTCGCCCATGCTGTCCCCACAGCCTGTTAGTGCACATCGCCAGCCGGCATCCTGGCCTGAGGGGGTTGAGGGTGTGAGGGGACCTGGGCACAGTCCCTGGCCCCAATTCAGGGGCACCAGGCACAGCTGCTCCCAACACTGCTTTTTAATGTGCTAGAGACAGAACAGGCTTCTGGTCTGGCTGCAAGTCCAAGATCGGTTTTAAAATAAACGTGTGAGCTTGCTTTTTTGTTCCCACGCAAAACTTCCCTGACCTGTTCCCCACTGAAACATCCTGGGGAGAGGAAGGTGCCCTGGGCACGCAGGTCCACTGTGCTCAGCTAGAAGGTCCCCCAGGGAAAATAGGCCTGAGAAATGCAGGCATTTGCCTTCCACATTGGGGCAGGGGATGCTAACGCTCCCTCCACATGCGATCAGCAGCAACACAGGGACGTTCACCAGGCACAGTCAAGAATGTCCCTTAAAACCCAATCTGGCCCTGGCTGGTTTGGCTCAGTAATTAGAGCATCAGCCCACGGACTGAAGGGTCCCAGGTTCGATTCCAGCCAAGGGCATGTACCTTGTTGCAGGCTTGATCCCTGGCCCTGGAGGCAACCCATTGATGTCTCTCACATCAATGTTTCTCCCTCTCTCCCACTCTCTCTGAAAAGCAGTGGGGAAAAAATATCCTCAGGCGAGGGTTAACAAAAGAAAACCCAATCCTGTGAGGGCAGCCTGCCACCCACCCACTGGGCATTCCTCCCAATGTCTATCCTTGCTGCTGCAGGCTAGTTACAGAAAGTAGGATTAAAACATCACCCATCCTAAGGCCTGATTAGGGTCTCCTCCTTTGTAGCAGTCCCCAGGGCTTGGGCGTGTACCAGGGGGTGCTCTGTTTTCGGCAGCCGAAGCCACTGGGGCCTGCTGTGCTGCACTCTGGGTGGCTTACTTGGGTCACACATCAGTGATAGGTGCCCTGGATCTGTAGTCTCTAAGTAAAGATCCTGCCCCCACAGAGGTCCAGGAGGCATAAGTGCTCCCTGGCAGCCAAAGCCTCCTCTCTTGGAAAAACTAAGGTGGCTGGCACTACACTCATATCTGAGGTGCTGTCCCCACCAAATGCCCCACTGCCCACCTCACTGAAGATCCAGGAGGGTCTTGCACTAGGGGCTCCCCCAGGAAGACATGCTGCCAGGGCCCTGTCCTCTAGGGACAGAGCAAGGGGAGGTTCAGAGAGCCCTTAGCTAAAACACCCACGTGCGGTTATCAGTTTTGTTTTCTGCTGATCCTGGAAGTGCTTTTGAAGCAGAATCCTAAGCTGGGCTCTCCTGCACACGGAGCTCCCCGCCCCCTCCTGCCCCTGGTTCCAGCCCTTCAGCCCCTCAGCGAGGGCCATGTCCTCCTTCAGGCTGCCAGTGCCTTCCACAGACTCCTCGTAGGTGGACTTCTCTGAGAAGGGCCGGGGGCCCAGCAGCTCCACCATGTCCACCTTCTCTAGCACCTCTCTCCAGCAGCGGCCTGCCCACCTGCAAACCACAGCTGCCCATCAGGCTACTCTGAAGGGATCCATTCGGCCCCTCCCAGGACAGCAGGAACTGCCCAGGAGGACGGGTGTGCCCCACCCAGGACCCAGCCACACACACCTTGTCCACCTGCTCCCGGCACCGTGTAAGGTCCATTGTCCGCTCGTGTGTGCAGCCGATGAGGCATCGCACTTCCTCATCAATGAGCTGGGCAGTGGCCTCGCTGTATGGCTTCTCCATCAGCACCTCATCTTGTTGGGAAATCGAAGGACACCTGGCCCAGCTTTTCACTCATCCCAAACTGCACAACCTGGGAGCCAGCAAGGAGCCAAGGCTGAGCCTGGCAGGACTTGGCCATGTGGAGCCCCCCACTGGGGTCACTGCCCTTTACCTGGGCGTAGGTGCTCTGGGTCACTTTTCTCAAGTCATCCTGGGCTCCTGTGGTGATCTGCCTAGAGAACAGCTGCTCAGCCACCCTGCCCGCCAGCATAGTGCACATGCGGTCGAAGAGCTGCTCACGAGCGTGCAGGTGCTGCTCTCTGGGCAAGTACTAGGCGAAGCCAAGGCCCCTGCCCCGGGGAATGACAGACACCTGCAACGGGTGGGGCGGTGCCTTTGTCAGGCCCCACGCAGAGCCCTGCCAGCTGGTCTTTCAAGTGGGGGAGGAGACCCCTGGACCCGACACTGACATGGTCACCCCGAGGGTTAACATGGAAACCCCTGCATCCTGCCTGTCCTGAGGAAGTTCTAGAGGAGTCATTTGGCTGGGCCCAGAGCTCAGGAGAGAGGTGCACTGAACATCCAACTTCTAGGGTGTCAGGTGGCTGGAACCAATACTCCCCTCTGCCCATCCACCCACCGAGGAATCTTTTGACAAATTCTGTACCATTACACTCCTTGAATGTACGGTGCCCACATGAGCACCAGCTGCACAGACACCCACAGAGTGAACACTCAGGCCCAGGGGCCCAGGGTTGAGTAAGGGAAGAGGCGGCCCCAAGCCCCACTACAGACACACGACGGGGAGACTGGCCTTCAGCAGGGGGTCCACATGCTCTAGGAACCAGCCTACCACCATGTGTCCAGCCTCGTGGTAGGCTACCATAATCTTCTCACTTGGCAACAGAACCTGCGTCTTCTCCAGGCCCGAAATCAAATTCCCGGGGAGTTAAGAGGCAGAGGAGGAATGGACAGCTGGACATGGCCACTCGGCATGTCCGGGGTGGTCAGAGCCTCTGTTGGGCCAGGGCATACCGAAGCCTGTCTGCTCTACACGCAGTGTTCAGCCCAGCCTGGTACCTGCCCCTCTGCACCAGACACTGCTGCCTTCTTCCCCCAGCTCCGAAGGTCCCCACACTGCACAGCAGCTGCCTTAGGAGGCACCTTCAGCCCATGGGATTCGCTGCTGCTTTCTGTGGCCTGAACAGAAGTGATGCCTGAGTCATGGGGGAACAAAGAGAGATTCCAACTGCCTCCTACAACCCAGCTGACAGGTAAGTGACAGGGCACAAAGGGACAGAAAACGTGTGGCGAGCCCGGCTTTATGACTGGCCAGCTCTCCAGAGCTACCAGGACACCCAGCAAAGCTGGAGTGCTGGCCTTGGGTTATTTGATATTCTGCTTCTCTAAACATGTCTCACGTCAATAACAAGTTCAGCAAGGACAGATCAGCATCACCAACCAGCCACCTGGCGGTTGTCAGAGCCCTGGGGCTGGACCACGGACAGCTGCTAGCCACATGGACACCCTCATCTCCATCCCTGGGAAGGCACTCAGGAGACCCTTACCCAACTGACTAGTTCTCCAAGTGGCTGATCTGAGGATGGGAGGCCAGGCGGTGACCCCACACACACACCTGGACCTGCACACACAACACAGCTGCTTGTAGTGCACAGTCCCGCAGGAAGCGTCCAGGAAATCTTGCTCCTCTCGGCCACACCTTAGCACCAGCACCTGGTTCTAATTCAGTGCCCCGGAAGTCCCATCTCTTTGGGATTCTAAATGTAGCTCTAGAAAAAGCACGAAAGTTGCTGGCAGATCCCAAGTCCCAAATTCTGGTTTGGAAAACTGTCCAAGGTTCCTGTGTACTAGAGTAAACTGGATCCCAGGGTGAGTACCCCCTCCAAGGGATGTCTGCTCACCTCCAATGACCCTCTCAATGGCCTGCTCAAAGTGCTTCTGCTGCACAGAAGGACTCCGGTGGCAGGCAGTGATCAGGGCTGCACCTGACCCAGGAAAGGACAGATTGGTGCCCAGTGTGCTTTGTCCCAGGAAAACCTCCAGCAGAGAGACCAGAGGGAAACCAGGTGAGCACGTGAAGGAAACGGGAACTGTTCTGTCATGACCATTGTTTTTAACCAGTTTTCTGGTTAAACAACTTACTAAGGTATAACTTATTTAACATAAAATCCATGTTCCATTACACATATATACCTCTTGTTTATCCATTCATGGGTTGATGGACATAGGGCGATTACAGATAATGCTGCTATGAACATCTGTGTAGATACCTAGGTGTGGAGCTACTAGGGCACATGGTGACTATGCTCCTCTTTGGAGAACCACCACACTGACCTCCACACCCAGGCTATTCCACATCCCACTGGCAGCACAGAAAGGCTCCGTGTCTCCAAACCCTTGCCAGCTTTTCCTTCTGTCGGTCTTTTACAGCCACCCTGGTGGGTGTGAGGGGGTTTACCTCACTGTGGTTCTGATTTGGGCTTTCCTAATGACTAACAGCACTCAGCATCTTCTCATGTGCTTTTTGGCCATTTGTGTATCTTTGAGAAAATGTCTACTCAATTCTTTGCCCACTTTTATTTATTTTTTAAATATATCTTTATTGATTTCAGAGAGAGGAAAGGAGAGGGAGAGAGAGATATATAGAAACATCAATGATGAGAGTCATTGATCGGCTGCCTCCTGCATACCCCAGACTGGGGATCAAGCCTGCAACCTGGGCATGTGCCCTGACCGGGAAACAAACCCCAACTGCCTGGATCCTAGGTCGACACTCAACCGCTGAGCCGCGCCCGGCTGGGATTTGCCCATTTTTAAACTGGATTCTTTCTGTTGTTGAGCTGTGAAAGTTCTTTATACACTTGAGATTTCAGACCCTTATCAGATGCATGATTTACAAATATTTTCTTTCACTCTGTTAGCTGTCCTTTCACTCGCTATATTTTAATTCTGAAGAAGTCCAATTTATTTTTCCATTTGTTATTTGTGTTTTCAGCATACTATCTAAGAAACCATTACCAAAGCAACATCATAAAGATTTCCCCCCTTATATTCTTCTAAGAGCTTTATAGTGAAGTAACTTTTATGTACGGTGTTAGGGTCCAACTTCATTCTTTTGTGTGTAGACATCCAGTTGTCTCAGCCCCATTTGTTGAAGAGCCTGTTCTTTCCTCACTGAAGGGTCTTCACACTCTGGACAAAACTAACTGAGCACATGTACAGGCTTCCATCTATTGATCTATGTCTGTGGTTGTGCCTGTAGCCAGTGGTGTTTGTTGGAGCCTGTACTAAGTTCTAAAGTAGAGAAGTGTGAGTCTCCACTCTGTTCTTTTACAAGATGGTTTTGAGTGTTCAGGGGCCCTGAGTTCCACACGAAGATCAGCTTCTCCACTTCTGCGTTGAAGGTTGTCGATGAAAAAAAGACAAAGTCTGGGTGGTCTACTCCAGTATTTTCACTTTGGTGTGTAAGTGATGCGTGAAGCAGAGCCCCAAAGGAGAAAATGAAAGAGAAAGCATGTTCTGGGCAGGATGCAGACCAGTCCCTCAGAAGCGAGCCTGGTCAGGTGAGGAGTTGCCCCTTATTGCCTTTAAGTGACAAATGCTCGCCCCTGTGTACACCTGACCCCAGCCCTTGCCCTGCACTGGGCAGGACACTAAGGAGACAGCTACTGTAGTGGCTGGAAGACAACGTTCCATGGCAATGTGTTCTGGGGTGGCAGGGAAAGAATCTAGAAGCTACTGGCTCACTGCAGTAAACACGAGGCTTCCAAAGGGCTGCTGAGTAGGTGGGAAGCTGGTGGGAAGCACCCTGGAAAAGCCCTAGACTCCTGGTGTTTAAACTACTCTGGCAGGAAAACAAGCTTTCTAGACCAGGCTCCTGGGTTCTAATTACAAGGAAGAGAGACAAGCAAAGGGAGCTGCCAGGCTGGGAACTTAATCCCAAGATCATGAAATACAGCCTGGCTGTTCACTTCAGGGAGTCTGTCCTCAGACATAAGTTTGAATAATGCAGTAAAAAATATCAAGTCTAAACAGAATTGAAACAGAAATTCACATGGGTACAGATCATTTTAGGGCTAATCAATTCCAAGGCTTCTGCTAAGTCTCGACAGATTCAAAGTTTTAAAGACAAAGATGGGCATGACAGATCAATGGCATGACCAGACACCAATTACATACAACCCTCCAAGGCAAGTAGCACAGCCTAGCCAACACTCACCTGTGAAGCCAGGAGTGCGTGCTGCGAGCTTCCTCGCCAAGGGCTCCATTCTGAGGCTCTTGTCTAATTTCAGTGGGCGCAGGTGCTCCTTGAAGATGGAACACCTGCCTTTGATGCCAGGGGGCCTTCCAAAAAAAGAGACGGCCACAGCAGAGTCACTTGCACCACCTCACAAAACCCCAAGGACAGCCTGGGGTTCCAGCACCTTCCTGGCCATGGGAGTCAAGAGCAATGGCAGAAATAACCCAAAAGTTGTACACATTTGGCTCTTGAACACTTTAAAACACGTTCCTAAGCAATCCGTCTCTGGCCAACACCAAATCCATCCCCTGGGCTGTGACCCAACAATGCAAAGACAATGCCGGCAGGGGAGCATGGGTCCAGAGACACCGACGTTCTCACAGAGGAAAGGGGCAGGGCAGACTCTGCTCTTACAGACTATCTCTCCAGTTTCTAGCACACTGCACGTAAAGGAGACGAGGAATACAATTCTGCCACCTCACTCCCACCTGTATGGGCTGCAGACTCAACCACGTCTGTTTATTCCCAAAAGTGGATCACAAAGAAACAGGAACCAGCAGCAGCCGAGGGAGTTTGTGTGCCTCCAAAATCTCAATCAAAATTTCATCCAAATACACAGCTAATGATCTAAACAAACTTTTAACCAAGAGCACAAAGACCACACTCACCCAGCGACCACACTCACCAATGTAAATCTGGAGGCTGAACCAGCCAGACACATCAGGGCAGGGTCAAGGATGTCGGGGCGGTTAGTGCTGGCCAGCACCACAACATTGGTGGCCGAGTCGAACCCTGGGCACACGAGAGGAGGGTGAGCCATCTTCCTGGGTGTCTTTCCTCTCCCTCTGGTCCCAACAGTATATCCCACTGCCCTTCTCCTGCACATCCATCTGTCCTTCTAGGCCCCTGCCCACCCCAGCAGCCCCACACTGGCTCTGCCGTTTCTATTGCTCACTGCGCACACACTGCAGTGGCCTCTCAGCGGTGGGCAGACCTCATGCCCAGGACTGGCTCTGAAAGCCCCTCCCAAACTGTTCACAGGAGGAACCAAACAGCCCACACTCCGGTTCTCACTGTCCCCCACTGCTCCAGCTAAGACCTATCTCCACAGACGAGTAACTGGGATCCCCATGGCCTGGTCTCAGGTGCGGACCCCATCCTGATTCATCACTGGTTCCTGCCAGCCTCTGGTTTCTCCCAAGGGAAACCCTCTACCGTGTCAGTGCCCCTGGCCACCTGCCAAGGTCTCCATCCACCCAGATCCTGGCAGGCTCACGGGGCCCAGGAACTGGTGCACATGAGGGAGGCAGGAGTGAAGGGGGATGCCCAGCAGAGGCGGGAGGGGGGAGGAAGGCAGTGTGCCCGCTACGACTGTTCTGTCCAGTCAGCCCCCCACATGTCAGAACAGAAAAAAATCTAATGAATTATCGTTGATTCCTAGAGACAATGAAAGACTCTGGGGATGTTTTGGTCTGTGAAGAACTAGCACAGTGTTCATCCTGACAAGGCCTGTTACAAGGTGCTCCCCCTGCCTCTGGGCCTGGAATTTGGGGACAGTACCTGCCATGCCCTGACAAGAAGGGCTCCCTATGCTACACCTAAGCTGTTTGTAAACTGTGTGTTTATGCTGAGCACCTCCCTTCCTCCTGGTGGCTGAGATTCGAGCCAGGCTGGGTAGAGGTGCCACACAACCAGCCTCCAGTCCACTGTGTCCTCGCTAGTTGCTGGGGAAGTGAGTGGCCCTGAGACTGTGCAGGGAGGACGGGAAGCTGTGCCTTCTCCCTGTGTTGGTTTTGCTGTGTCCTGTCACTGTAAACAGTTATGGATGTGAGTAGGATGACCCATGGCATCCTGGGAGTCCTCCCAGCAAGCCGCTGAACCGAGGGTGGCCTCAGGGACCCCAACACAGCCTTAAGGCCAAAGTGAACATAAAACTTGCCGAACGTCCAGCAAAAGCTTCTCCAAATTCAAATACTGGCATCAGTGCCTAGCCACTTCCCATGGAGCTTCAGCAGGCCTGACAAGCTCCCAAACACACTTAGGTGGAATCAGTGAGCAGTGCTCTTGACTGGGAGGAAGGAGAGATCTTAGCACAGGAGGCTGAGAGGGGAAAAGCATGGGCTGCCTCCCCCACCCTGTGGGCACCTGTGGGCACCCACGCCTGTGCTACGGCTGGCCCACCTCCCCAGAGTCGCAGGCGCCTCATCCCCAGTGCCCCTCCTGCTAGTGCAGGGCAGGGAGCATAAGCCCCCTGGTCCTACTGTGAGCACTGGGGACCTGGGGTGATCTACCACAGCTTTCTCCACTGTCTGCCTTGGAGCAGCCTTCCTTAGAAACAGAATAATCAGGGTTCTCACCCAGGGAGCTGTTTACAAAATGAAAGGCTAGAGGAGGTCACGTGAGGGCAGAGGTGCCTGCTCTCAGCAGCTGTGTCCACTCACCATCCGTCTCCACAAGTATCTGATTCAGGGTGTTCTGCTCGAGCTCTGGCCTCTAAAGTGCCCACGGCCTCACATCAACAAACAAGATACAAGGAGCATTTCTTCGGGCCATAGCAAACACGTCCCACACCTGAAACAGAAGTGCACACGAAGAGCATTCTGCTGTGGGTAGACAGGAGTGAGCCCTCTCCTCTGCCTTCCTGGGTGGGCCTCACTCATCTGCGACTCGCTCTGTGCTCACCACCAGAGCCCCGCCCCACCCCAGGGACGTCCGACTCGAGGACAAGAGCACATCCCCCTACCCTTGCTGCCCCAACATCACCAAACATCTCCAGGAACTCCGACCCACTCACGGTGATGAAAGGCACACTAGCCTCCCCAGCAGTCACTCTGGCAAGAAGCGTTCTGCCGGTACAGGGAGGACCAGTGAGCATGACTCCCTGAAACACAAAGATGACACCTGGTTCTTTAAGGAGACAGGCACCCAGAGGAAAGGAGTGACAAACAAGAATCCCATCTGAAGATGTACTGCTCTTGTAGGCTGAGGTTTTCCTTCAACACCTCGGCCCCCCCAGATCTCAGGCCACCGTGAGCTCATCAGGTTCACTAGCTTTCTGGACTCAATGAGCGTTTCTTCAGCTGTGAAGGCAGCACCTCTGTGGGGGCACCCATGTTTCCTGGTCTACGACTTGCCTTTCTCTATCTCACTTAAAGATTAAAATCACTAATTCATGCTCTTGTAACACACCTGTGTTCCTCTTATGACTTACCATTCTGCCTGAGAATTGAGAAGATATTAAAGGGGGGGAGCTTATATTGCTCCATTCTGGTCAGAGGTGTGAGTTAATATCTAATTATTTCAAAAGAGAGACCACCAGGGTTTTGAGTCTTTAAGAACAAAAAAATACTCACATACAGGTGAGGTGGAGGGAGCCACAGAACTTAAACCTGTAACAAGGCACTGGCACCCCATATCCCTGTGACCACAAATGTGGGATTCAGATGCAGCACAGCCCACCACATGGATGTTCTTAATTCTCCATCCCTGCCGGTCATGTGACCCAGGCAGAGCAGACTCTTCTAGACAACAGGCAGTGAATCAGGGAATATGCCCACATTCACTGCAGGACATTTCAGGGGGTCCTTGTACTTCCCGCTGGGAAGGGCTGACAGCCACCTGGGTCCTGGTGTCCTCAGCACCAACTGGGAGACCCTCCCTCGAACCCAGCCTGGCTGGGGGGTGGTACCACCTGCAGGTGAGAGGACTATCTCAGTTGCCTGGCTGCTCCACCCACTCCCTTCATCATACCCGTTTTCCCCAGTCAATACAAACACCTGAAAGAAATCCTGAAAGCAAACAGAAGTGCCCATTGCAAGAGCTGAAGGTAAAGCGAAGGTGTTCAGCAGCTGGGCTCCCTGCAGGCAAAGCTCCAACAGGAGCACAAGGTGGCCTCTGCACCTGTCACACCCACATGCTTTCCACCCAACACTAACCATACTATAAAAAAAAATGTCACCGCCTGCCCTCTAATCTCACGTTGACAGTGGTGCCCAACTGGGGTGAGCTGGGGCTGCTCAAAGGTCTCTGGTGAGCGCTGTCCACAGTAAAGCTTGTAGCCTGGCCCAGAGCCCAAGACAACCTGAAAGATCTGTGAATCAACTTCTTATGAGATGCAGCTCTTTCTGGAGAAAGGATTCAGTTTCTGTCCAGCCCTCAAAGGGTCCATGACACAAAGAGGCACCAGGAGACAAAGCCAGCAACCAGAATGGATGAGGCTCAGTTTCCACTGAAGGACACCCTGAGCCATGCCCATGCCCATGCCCACACCACACCTGCTGGTCCTGGGCTTTCCAAGAAGCAGCTGCATCTGATGCCAAACCTGTTTATTTGAGTTGTACTTGTTTTAGTTATGTAAGTTGTTATTATGTAAACTAGTACAAGAAGAGTAAAGAAAATTGTTTCTTCAAAAGCTAACTTGAAGGCTTATTGCTAAAAAAAAAAAAAAAAAAGCTGTCAAATTGAGCAGGTGAAAAACACTAAATGAGTAAGAAAAAGTCATGAGAACACAGATTCTGCACTCAGATGGCTTCTAAGTCCTTACTGCAATTCAGAGAAACAAAACTGTGACCAACTCATGGTTTATGCAGGACATTCAACAAAGAACCATGACCACTGGGACCAAACTCACAGAAAGACATACATTTAAGTTAAAAATAAACACACCAGCCCAGCTAGGCTTGGCTCAGCGGTTGAGTGTCCACCTAGGATCCAGGAGATCGAGGTTCGATTCCCGGTCAGGGCACATGCCGGGGTTGCAGGCTCGATCCCCAGTTGGGGGAGTGCAGGAGACAGCTGATCAATGACTCTCTCATCATTGATGTTTCTCTCTCTCTCTCCCTCTTCCTTCTTTCTGAAATCAATAAAGATATATATATAAATATATTTAAATATTTAAATATATCTTTATTGATTTCAGAGAGAGGAAAGGAGAGGGGAGAGAGAGAGAGAGAAACATCAATGATGAGAGAGTCATTGATCGAGCCCACAACCCGGGCATGTGCTCTGACCAGGAACTGAACCCCAATTGCCTGGATCCCAGGTCAACGCTCAACCGCTGAGCCACGCCCAGTCGGGCAATAAAGATATATTTTTTAAAATAAATAAACACACCAATGACAGGTGTGCGTTGCTCCTGTGACCCCACTATCTTATAGTTTAAAAAAATTAACTCTGTGGTCTCAGGTCAATCAGGTGAGAGGATTTCCAGTATTCTACTCTGCAAATGCTATTTCCACTCTCTAATGTGATTAGTAAAATACATCATCACAAAAGGCTAAGTTGTCAACTACCTATGAACCCTGGACCATAGGGACCTCTGGCTTTGACTTGGAGCTGGAGTAGTACCATCTTTTCTGAAATCCATACCTTTGGAATTTTGGCTCCTAAGTTCTGGTACTGCTTGGGATTCTTGAGGAAATTCACAAACTCCAAAATCTCCAACTTGGCTTCTTCACAACCAGCCACGTCTGCAAACCGCATGTCGAGGTGGTTCTTTAAGATCTCTGCTGTGGTCTTGCCAACACTGAAGAGGCCCCCTCCTTGCCCACCACGCCCAGCTCCCATCGAGCCCCTCCTTGAAGCATAGAGGATGCCAACCAGGAGAAGGGCAGGCACCAGGCTTCGCAAGAAAGAGCTAGAAAACCCAAGAAAACCACTCATCAGGAGAAAGGCCATAAATATTAACCTTCAGGCCACGGAGAGTCGATGACTCTGGAACTGTTTTTGCCACACAAAGGGAGTGGTTTCTTTAAAAATTCGTCAAAGCCTGCTCTGGCCGGTGTGTCTCAGTGGTAAGAGAGTCGGCCCACATACCGAAGGGTCAAGGGTTCGATTCCCAATCAAAGGCATGTACCTGGGTTGGAGGTTCGATCCCCAGCCCTGGCTGGGGCACGTGCAGGTGGCAACCAGTTGATGTGTATCTCTTATATTTATGCTTCTCTCTCTATATATGTATCTCCTCCCTCCCCTCCCATTTTCTCTAAAAATCAATGGAAAAAATATCCTTAGGTGAGGATTAACAAAAAAGAAAAGTGTTAGAAGTCTGTCCATGGTATCAAACCTTCCCCCAATTCTGAAGGCTCTCATCCATGCATGTGGGTCTGCCCATCTTTGCCCAGGGTTGGCCTGTGGGGTAGGGAGGGCAGCCACCCCAGCAGACCCAGCATGGCCTCCTCACAGCTAAGCCCTGCCCAGCCTAATGTACCACTTTTTTAAGGCTGCCTGACTACACGGTTCCGATTAATTCTTTCCTCAATAAAAACAGAGCTAATAAATCTATTTTCTTACTACAGATATTAAAATATTAGTGTGCAGGAGGCAACCAATCAATGACTCTCATCACAGCAGATGCCTGTGGTATGCTTCAAGAAAGCACACTCCAAACCATTCTCTGTCTGGAACCAGATACCCTGACTGGAGCTCTCTGTCTACTCACCTGTCGCTCTTGCTGGTGTAGGCCACTGCCGTCTGGTTGAGGGGATCGATTACCCAGCTCCCTGGGAGCAGTCTCCAGGTTCCACTCAAAGGTGTCAATGCTGCCAATGTTAAACCACATAAACCTCTGTAGAAGCAAGACTGGAGCGGCATAAGATGCCCCTCCCCACAGCCACTGCCTCTCTCACCAAGTCCACTTTCTACAAAGTCGAGCCTAGTTCTGCAGGTAAGTCCACTAACAGAAAAAGTGTCCTCTGTTCTGGCCGACAAACCACAGGCCTTAGGTTTTAGATAAAAATATAAAATTCTGCCTTTGTCCCTTCTTTTTGCCTTTTTAGTCTTCTCGCCTCATAAACCTTGCCTAGGGGTTCTCAAATATGACTTGGCAAATTCAGTCCCCGGTACAGGGTCATACGGGGCTCCTGTCTACTTGAAAGAATGTCAGCGAGATAAACAGTCACATGAACACAGGTTGCTGTTAGCTGGCAAAACCAAAGAGGCATTTCTCTGAAAAATACAAACCTACACTTTACATTTAAAAAAACCTACACCTGTGGCTCAATGGTTCAGCGACCACCCATGAACCAAGAGGATCCCGGTTTGAGTCCTGGTCAGGGCACATGCCTGGGATGTGGGCTCCATCCCCAGAGCAGGGGATGTGCAGGAGGCAGCTGATCCATGTTTCTCTCTCATCAATGTGTCCATCTCTCTATCCCTCTCCCTAAAATCAATAAAAGCATGTTAAAAAAAAATCTAGACCCAGAATCAGTCTTGAACCCACCCCTCACCTCAGATGATGACCCAGGGGCAAGAATAACATGCACAAACTGTTTGTTCACAATTTCCAGCAGATCCACCTAGGAAAGAAGAGAAACCCAATCAGAACAGCTGAGGTGCTGAACAAGACACCTAGCAGCCAACCATGGGCCTCAGACATGCTCCCCACATACACTGAAATGTACCAAGAGACAGCTAACACTCTCAGAACACATCTGAGTTTTGTTTTCCTACTGGCATTAACAGTTTTAGCCTGGGGTATGAATCTATTTTCATTTTAATAAACAGGAACCAATTCAGAAAAAGGAATTAGAATTTGAGACATCTGAGTACTAAGATTCCACACCAGCTCTAAAACCCAAAAAGACCAGGAATGAAAGTCTTCTACTAATGACACAGGGAAGTCTTCCACCCAGAGCCAATTCAGTAACACACTCACCCCCCGGCTGCAGAGACCACAGGAGAGTGGCGTCAATGAGAATGAAGATGCAGCCCGAATGGCCCACAAGCTGCTGTGACCTCTGTACTCAGCTGTCTGGGAGCAAAGCCCCTCTGGGAAGCAATTCAAGGACACACCTAAGGGTTGTGCCACTCCACGCGTTAGCTCTAACAGGATCTGCAATTGCTAAACACGGCTCCTTTTGGAAACTAAATGAAGGTCTAAGGTTGTGTGATGGGGTAAGTGGGCACCTCACGACACAGCAATATGGCTCTCGCCCCACAGAACCCTGACTGTACTAACCCATAACACACAGCACAGAAAGCAGACAAAGCCGCCGGGCACCACAGAGACGAGAGCACCGCGCCATGCTGCCGCCTTTCACCCGGGGTCACGGCCCAGCTGACATGCTCTCTCCAAGGCAGTGCACCTGAGTGCACCACTGGAAACAGGGAAGTTAGGGACGCCAAGTATAAAAGAGTGAGCATATGCATTCAGTACAGGCCGGCAGACCCCAATAACAGGCCAACCTGAGCCTGAGATGGTGATTTCCTTCTTTATACGTTGACTTCCCAAGTATTTTTTGCAGGAAGCAAGTATTACATTTACATTTCTAAAAACACAACAACAGTGTATAAAAGCAAAGATTGCTCCTGAAGCTTTGGGATACTGCAGCCTTTTATTCCCAAATAGGCTCTCTATTAAAGAATGTCTGTTCCAGGCCATGACCTAGAAATGCATTTGAAGCTCAAGGGTGACTGTGCATGTCAACTTATTTCTGTGATACCCTAAGGCAGTAGCAGGTGATCTCCTAGGAACCATTCAGAAAGGGCTGGGGCCACTCATATTCACATGCTAAGCTTTTCCAGCTCACAGGAAGATCCTCTGAACAGATTCAGGTACTTGGTCTCACTGAACCAGGCGAGGCTGCCTCCCACCAAGCACCACAGGACATGCGCACAGGGCTGTATTAGATGAGCTAGGGAGTGAACACTTCGCCCTTAAGAGCTCCAGGCTGTATTTCAGAACAAGCATGTTACTGTCAGCATGTCAGCCCTCGAGGAAACGCTAGAATCTTGACTAAATGCAAGTACAGGAGGGCCTGCCTTGCTCCTCCTCACAGCTGCACCTGCGGATGGCAAGTCCTCACTTTGGAAGGAGCTGCAGCAGCCCTCCCCCAACCCCATACAGAGGGCAGATGTGTGGGCAGACAACAAAGACCTAGCCACAGACCCTGGCAGAAAACAATGGTTTCCAACAGCCACCATCACACAAGAGCTAGTCCAGATCTCAACAGTGTGTGATGGAGCTACAGTGGCCAGTCGTTTGCTCTTTCATAAGGTTACACTCAAGCCTGAACAGCTCAGCAGCATGTCACCTGACCTCAGGACCTGGAGGACAAGCCAAGGAGGGCTGTGCTGGTGTGACACCAAGCCCAGGGCACCCCGCAGGGCAGGTATGCACTGAGAGAGAAGCCCTATATCAGGTATGAGATGAAATGTAAGATGGGAAACAGATAAACAGAGCAAAGTCTTAGAAGCAAAAGCTAATGAAAAACCAAGTCAGGCCATGACGCTGAGAGACCTCCACACAGCAAGGAGGTGTCTGTGCCCAAGGCTGGGCTGCTCAGGACGCAGCTCACAGGCCATGCACATGGACACACAACCATAGGCACTGCACCCTTCCTGGTATACAGACTGTGAAGTCCCCTCACCAGACCTCTCGCCAGGTAATACTGCACAAAGTGCTTCCAGGTGATTTCTTTCCCAGGATCTCGAAAATAGAAGTAGAAAAATCCCATGGCAACACCTGCCCCAAAACAGCCAGACTGCAGAAATCCTTGTCATCCCAGGGGAACTCCCCCTGTGGAAGAAGAGAACACATCTCACGGTTAATGAAGGCGGCTCCTTCATGAAAATGTCTATTTTTTTCTGACGTTTTGACAGAAGTTGTCCAAACCCGCCCCCTCACAGTCCACCATGTGGCCCATGTGTGTGGTGGAAGGACCCTGCCCAGTGGATGAAAACACACACAAGCTGCAGCTCACCAGAGCCTGGGAGAAGCAGAACATACATACAGACCTCTGCTTTGGAGCCATCGTTTCCAGTCTTTTCAAATTCAGATGGAAATCTCCATGTTTTCATAAATGAGATTCATTTCTCAGAATCTTTGAATCAGCTTGCTCCAAAACAAGCAGAAGTGCACAAAGCCAGGGCGCATCTGTGGCTGATTCCTTGAACAGGCCATCTGGGTCTGGTGCTCGGACGCGCACAAACCTTCTGCAACCGTTTCCACCAAGAAAAGTCATCTTGCTTTCTCCCTCCCCTGCTTCCATCCACTCCAGGCCTAGCATCCTTTGATTCACTAGTTCCTAAAGAAAAGAAAGTCTGGCCTCAAGAAAAAACAAAAAACAAACATAACTTTGCAGAGAAAGAGGATTCAGAGAATAGGAAAATGCTTTCCAACATACATTTCCCTGACACTGGTGCGTTCTGGAAGAGGTGGGGGTGGCAGGGGCCAAGGGAAAGGTCAGGACCACACCAACTGCACACATTGCCAGACAGGAAGAAAATTTACAACAATCTCCTCAAGTCCCTATGAATCACCAGTGGCTGGTGCACAAGTGATACTTTTTACACTCCTGCTGAAATGCCACACTTCTTATGCTCCTGACTGTTCTGCTCTGCATAACCCCTTTTTAGGGAAAATGAGACTGCTGAGGAACAGCTTCAGATACACATGAAATTCCTCAAATTTCGCCTTGCCAGCCCCAGGCCTGAGCTTCACTAGCAAATCTTTCTTGGTTACAGTCACCTTTCCACACAA